CGCCGCCAGTGACCAGCACCTGCCGCTGCCCCGTCGGGAGTAAAAAGGTAAATCCCTTAAATGTGGCTCCGTTTCCCCAAATCCAGAACCGAAGCGGTACAGGAGCGCGTCTGCGCGACGCCCGTGGCGATTTGGAGCTTCGCGTTGATGCCCTCCATAACTTGAGTCACGAACGGGGCTGGCTGCTCGCTCGTTTTACAGCGCTGGATGAGAGATGCTGGTGCTGTTTCCCTTTTGTGTGTGTGCGTGTGTTTATTCTCCCTTTCAAACATCAGTGAAATCATAGAATCACAGAACGGTTTGGGTTGGAAGGGACCTCAAAGACCATCCAGTTCCACCCCCCCTGCCATGGGCAGGGACACCCTCCACTACACCAGGTTGCCCAAAGCCTCATCCAACCTGGCCTTGAACACTTCCAGGGATGGGGCAGCCACAGCTTCTCTGGGCAACCTGTGCCAGTGCCTCACCACCCTCAGAGTGAAAAATTTCTTCCTTATATCCAATCTAAATCTCCCCTCTTCCAGTTTAAAGCCATTGCCCCGTGTCCTGTCACTGCATGTCCCTGTGTCACTTTTGCCATTGGCATCTTTTACTTTTCCCCCCCTTACAGCTGTCTTTAGCCACTAACACTTGTAGGCAGTTTGCTTTTTGACTTTCTGATGATCCGTTAACATGTGGGTTTTTTTTTTATTTTATAAAGCTATCCATGTTTTTTCAACCTGTAAAAAAGCTTATTTATGTTTTACATTGGTTTATATCTGTTATTTAGGTTTCTGAATCTTTTTCTAGTAGTATAAAATAGACACCCCAAATTAGTAATTTGAATAGGATGTGTTTACTCAGTTGATCTTGTAGAGTGGTGCTAACTCCACAGAGAATTTAAATGTCTTCAGAAGACAAAGAAGCTCAGGAGGATGAGCTGCTGGCCTTGGCTAGCATTTATGATGAAGATGAGTTTAAGAGAGACGAGTCTGCCCAAGGAGGAGAAACAAGAATTTGTCTGGAGTTGCCCCAAAACTTCAAAATTTTTGTGAGTGGTGAGTTGAGATGTTTTCTGTTATCCTGAAGTTAGCTTCTCTTCTACCGAGCTAATTTTCTGGTGCGTGCTTAGATGGTGGTTGCTCTAGTGACACTGACCAGAAGAAGCCACGACTGACCCTGTGCTGTGCTTGTGGTGTTGCTGGAGTTTATAGGTGATTTCGTCCTCGTACATACAACCCCTTTAGTGAACCTTGAAATTAGAGATGAGTAATAGTATTTCTTTGGAATAATTCAGTCCATTATTTTTTCTTTCCTTGAGGATATGTCTTTCCAGCTTCTTGGTTTGTGCAGGATCTGATATTTCACAGTAAAGGTGTTTATTGACTTAACCATATATATGCAACCCTATGAAATTTTACTGCACTGAGAAGTCTTGTTAATTATGGTTGAATAGATAATTTGAAACCTGGACATTTATGAAAAGAGAGATCTGTCATAAACAGTTACAGTTAATTTGTTTTCTTGTTATTTCTTAAACTGTCTCAATTCTCTTTGCATCAGGCAATGCCACAGAAAGCCTCCCAAACGGTGGGTTTGAGTACACCGTTTGCTTTCTGCCTCCCCTTGTGCTCAATTTCGAACTCCCACCAGACTACCCGTCAGCCTCCCCGCCGGTGTTCACGCTCAGTGGAAAATGGCTCTCCCCAGCCCAGGTTTGCAACATGGTTTTAACCTTTTAACAGGGCTTCTGGGATCACAAATAAGTTCATTGTTAACAGTGCTCTGGGGATTGTTAGTGTAATATATGGAAGTAAAATTAAGACATAAATGATTATATTACTCTTTTAGTTGGCTCTTCTTTTGTTTCCTACTTGTTTTTATTTGGTCACCATTCTGCGGAGTGAAAGCTGGCATTATTTTTATGTGTATTCTGTGTATATATTAAAAACTCCAGAAGCTGAAATCTCAGTATGCACTGAGGAGGACTGTGGGAGGGGAGGAAAACAGTAACGAGTTGCCAGAACTGACTGAAATCTAGAATTGTCTTTTCTTTTCTAGCTCAGTGCTCTTTGCAAACACTTAGACAACGTATGGGAGGAGAATCGAGGCTGTGTGGTCCTGTTTGCCTGGATGCAGTTTCTGAAGGAGGAAACGCTGAGTTACCTGAACATTTCCTCCCCATACGAGCTGAAAATGTGCCACCCAGGAAGCGGGCAGAGCAGGACACCTTTGGTCCCTCTTGACGCCGAGGAGGATTGTGGTGGTGCCGCAGGCTCCGCCGCGGCTGCAGAAGAAATCATCGATGCAAGAGCTGTGCAGGATGTGGAGTCCTTGTCGAGTCTGATTAGGGAAATCTTGGACTTTGATCAGGCTCAGAGGAGGAAGTGCTTTGACAGTAAGATGCACTTGTGCAATATCTGCTTCTGTGAGAAGCTGGGCAGTGAATGCATGTACTTCACCGAGTGCAGCCATGTGTACTGCAAAGCATGCCTGAAGGACTACTTTGAAATACAGATCAGGGATGGCCAGGTCCACTGTCTCAACTGTCCAGAACCGCAGTGTTCTTCCGTTGCGACTCCTGGCCAGGTAATAGCAGTGTGCAAGCCGTGATGGTAGAGTTCTGCTAACTTACCCATAATTACAGAAGACAAGGTGTGGCTTTTCATGGTGAGCATTGTGAATATACCTGGGGAAATTGTTTCCTGCTGTGAGCCACGCAGAGGCAGCAGAGTTAAAGCTGGGTCACTGGGCACATATCGTGCCCGCTTTGTTAGCACTGGCATTGGTCAGAGGCCCAAACCAATGTCCCGTTGCATTTGACACTGCATGTTTTTCGTTCGATTAATTATTATGAAAATAGCATTTGGAGGAGTGTTTTCATGACCTGTTGGAGATGATAAAGTGGATTCATCCCAGCTGTAGGTGCTTTTTCATTGACTTACTGCTTTTTGCTGAAGCTGGCAGGCTCAGAATTTCAGATGCATGTCATCTGTCTTTGATCTTTGCTCAGGTCAAAGAGTTGGTTGGCGAGCAGCTGTTTGCACGTTACGACCGCCTGCTGCTGCAGTCTACCTTGGACCTGATGGCAGACGTGGTGTATTGCCCTCGCCCGGGCTGCCAGACACCAGTCATGCAGGAACCGGGCTGCACCATGGGCATATGTTCCTGTTGCAACTATGCTTTTTGTACTCTCTGTAAAATGACCTACCACGGGGTGTCTCCGTGCAAAATCACCGCAGGTGAGTCATCGTGTTTCAGAAACGCATCCAGAAGCAATTCAGTCTTGCGTGAAAAAGACCCAAGGTCAGAAATTAAGCAAAGAAACTCGTCACCACATGAGCTTTCAAAAAGATTAGACAGATTCATTTGGGGTAGGTCTGTTGCTGGCAATTAAAAATTACTCCTTTGACACTCCACAGCACAGGAGGTCCCTAAACTGTTGATTGCTAAGCGCTGAGAGACTGTGGCAG